GAGAGAGAGAGAGAGAGAGAGAGAGAGAGAGAGAGCGAGAGAAAGAGAAAGAGAAAGAGAGAGCGAGAGAAAGAGAAAGAGAGTGAGAGAAATACAGAGAAAGAGAGAAAGAGAGGAGAGGAGATGCGAAAAGCAACGGTTGGTAATTGTGATGAGACTAGAGGAAAATCGGTGACATCCTCAGAGCACAGTGTGTAGGGAAGGCGTCAGTGTTGGTTTTCAATAACGTAGGTGACAACGAGACAGAGAAAGTGCCACGTCAAGCTTCTATTGTTAGAGGCAAGCTACGACACATTGTTAAAGACTTTCTCCGAGGTTTGGGAGTCTTTTTGTTTCCTCTTCAGCCAGAAGTCTGTGACGAGTGGCAAAGTGGTTGGCCTGCCCCATGGCGTGTACACAATATTGTGTCACGATTTGTCGGAGTGTTAAGTCCATTGTTTCATTGTCAGAAGGCTGCAAAAATACGAGGGATGATAGTTATTACTTCCGAATCCGAACAAAGAACAGAGCAAATTTTTGATTAGGATGGACACAGATTTCAATTAAGGACCCAGAGGATGCCTTGTTCAAAGGACAATATTTTTGCCTGTGATTGGTGTTTAACTTCGAGAAATTGGCCTCACTGTTTTGGTACTCTCTCGGCCAAATGTATGGCTTTTGCAGTGTAAAATTCATTTTGTCGACTTCCCATAGAATAAAGTGATGATAATTAAATTAGAACGTCTTCGTGTAATTAAAAGAAAACATGTGTGAATCAAGCGAAGGAACACAGCAACCAGATTTCTGTCAAATTAAAACTGAAACCCCCACATTAAAATGTATGCCTTTAGGGAGCCTAGGACTTATTTCTTATCTCCTGTCCTTTCTTTGACATTGTAGGGGACATTTGAAGTCGGGATTTTGAACTCACATACTTCGCGTTCAAGGCGATGAGCCTAACCATTAGACCACAGACACAGGTATTACAGCATCCCACTACCCCCTGCCCCCACCCCAAAAAAAATTAAATAACCTGTTTACAAATGTAAAAGTGGTCAGCCTTCAGAGAACAAGCTAAGTCCAGTTGATAGTAACATTAATAAACTAACCACTTCAGAACGTTCTAACGTTCCTTTTTGCCCCTCGGCTAAACTGAACCTAGATAAATGGCTACGCTTTGTGAGAGCCACACTCTACATCGTCTGGGTTGGGAAGGACATCCCAGGGAATTACCCTGACTGTCTCCCGGCCCCAGGCAAAGGGTTTTATCCTCGCAGGGCCTTGTGGGCTACTATTTGGAGACTCTTGCTGGCGCCATTTTGAGTTCCTTCACAGCCATGATGTAAATAAATGGTGGACAATAATACAGTTGTAGGTCGGTGACCCGAGACAGTAGAGCAAGCTCTGTGTAACTGTGTAAGAGCCTGTTAGGTTTAGAATGATCCCAGTCCGCTTCATAGGGCTGTCTTTGCTGCTTTACAAAAACGATTTTCATTATCTGATATAGGGAGGGTGATTGTTGTTGTTGATTTTGCTGCTTTTTTAAATTGTTGTTCTGGTGAAAGGGTGTCATAATTGTAGGTAAATTATAATGTTTCTCCTTTTGACTTATAAGTTGTTTGATTGAGTAAACAAAGGCCAGTGTGGGAATGAATGGGTATGTGCATTATATGAGTGAATGTGTGAGCGAATGAGAGAATGACAAAGTAGTGTAAAGGTGACTGAATGAATATATTATACATGTGTACTTAAAGTTCGTTTATTCATATCATGGAGAGATAGTGAGATAGTTTTTTCGCAGTTCACTCTTACATTCAACAGGGTACAACTCACAACAACCCGATAATCCTGTCAAAACTTAAAAGTGCCGATGCCATCTCCATTGTACACACACACACACATGCACACACACACACACACACACACACACACACACATACACACACACACTTACACACACACACACACACACACACACACAATCCAATATACTATTAGAAAAATTCACAAGAATCAGCAAGGACCAACGCTAAAGACTTCTGTGTACTAACCCCCCTCCCCCCGAGTCTCCCCCTCTTTTCTCACTCTCCCGGAGTCACTCGGTGCGGTAAACGGTCAAGCAAACGAAAACAGACATTCGGAAGTAAGAAGATACTCCAAATCGGTTTGCTACTGCTAGACTACAAAGCGGCTTCTTCTCTGTGAGAGTACTTGTCATTTCACCATGGTCTACCGTCTGACAAAGATGGTGGAGGAATATACCCCAAGCTTACTGTGAAGACCAGCAACTTAGCCGGAGTCATTACCCAGCCGTCTATGTTAATAACCTTCCGTACATCAAATTCTACAACCTCCCTTGACGGCGCTGCAAACAGGGTAGCAACGGTCTAAGCCTAGCATTAGAGCAAAGCTCGTCGTAGAGGCCAATCGAGACATCTACAAGTTGAAACTCGCTGAGACTTGGCGTGTTTTGTATCTCTCCCGAAAGCTCTAAAATCTTACGGTAACGAAAGGTGAAAGAATTTGTGGCGGTGTTGAATGGCGAGCCTAGTGGCGTCGGGGGTAACCGTCTACCCCACAAAATTCTAAGGGAGGGAATTTTGATGGTGGTAAATTACAGGACCAGAGAGTTGTCGGCCGTCCTCTTTGAGGGTCTCCGAGCCGGGAGAACGCTGTGACCCTGCCTGTAGGAGGAGACACTGTCTGTTGTGTAGGTTGTGTGGGTTTGGGAGTCCGCTGTTGTTTGGTGTTTGTCTGTTTCCTTCTTCTCATAATTCCTATATTGCTGGGTTGTTTGTGTGTGTGTGGGTTGGTTGGTTGGTTGGTTGGTTGGTTGATCGGTTGATTGGTTGGCTGTTTCTTTGTTTGTTTGTTTGTTTGTTTGATTGCTCGTTTGTTTGTTTCTTTGTTTGTTGTTGTTTTTGGGGGGCTGTTGTTCAGTTGCCTTTTTTGTTACGCATTTCCATCTTTTAAAATTGTTGCTTCTCATACGTCTGAATTTGTCGTTAAGTTTTTCTGAATGTTTCCCTTCTTTCTACTACTACCACTATATTGTGCTACAATTACAACAGTCACCGTTACTATTTTTAAAGGTCATTTAACCCCCTAGAGTACTCACGTTGTGCAGCTTATAGTAGAGTCCACAGGCGTTGCACACAGGGTCGCCATTCGGGTTTCTCCTCCACAGGGTTGTGGTTCCAGTCCCACAGTTGGCGCACGTGGTACCCGCACGTCGAGCAGCGCTCTGAGGGAGACAGACAATGCACGTGCACGGGTGAGTATGGTAATATGGTATAGTATGGTATATTATGGCATGGCATGGCATGGCATGGCATGACATAGCATGGCATGGATTGGCATGGCATGGTATGGTGTGGTATGGGATGGGATGAGATGGGATGGTATGGGATGGGATGGGATTGGATGGGATGGGATGGGATGGGATGGGATGGGATGGGATGGGATGGGATGGGATAAGATGGGATGGG